GCTCAAAGCGGGATCTCGGGCACTAAGTGGCAAAACGTGCAGTCATGTTGCGAAGCACGGCATCTGCTCTACTCACAAGAAGACAATGTGAAGTAGGGCACGCGGACCGCAACCATGTGTTTTACTAGCGATCTCCTGCCGATGCGATCACGCATGCCCTACGTCTGCACAAGCGGGCACCAGGAGGCAGCACTGAAGCTGTCGTGAAATCTGAAAAGCAGCCGCATGCTGGCTGGCAGCGAAAAATGCAAGTGTTTGACCTGCAAGCTAAGCAAAGCATGCGAGAGCCCGAGTGAAAAATTGAAAGGTGGTTGTTGTGTTTTACTCAACTGTGTTTACAACTAGGCTACACACTTTGTGTGCTTGGGAATGTTGCTATGTACACAGCCGCTTTGCTCAGCTGACTGAACATGTCGTGCAGCAGACATGTCACTTCTTTTTTCAGCACGCTAATTCTTGGCATATTGCGCTATTTTTTGGCAGGACAATTTTCATAAGCCTTTCCAGCTTCCCTAGGGCAGTTTAGGGTGTGCAAGCCGGGGCGGGCCGGCGGATGGCCCTTCCTTGGACTCCGAGAGAAGTCTGCTTTGGTGTGCAGGCTGCTCTTGAGTACATCAGGGAAGCAGAGGCGAAGATCTCAGCTCTTGAGCTTCGTGCGCGGGCTCTTGAGGCTACACGTGACCTGCAGGCGCAGGTTAACACATTGCAATTGCGAGTGGATCAATTGGAACAGGACGCCGCTGGGACCCAGGCGGTACTGGCTGGTCCTTACAATATCGGCTTACGTGCTGAATTATCCGCTTTGCATAAAGTCCTTTCAGGCTGCGTTGAATCTACGAATCGTGCAGAGAGTGAGCTTCTCCTGTTGCTCTCCTGGAGAACCAATTTTACCAAGGTGCTCCAAGAAGAATTGCAGAGTATAGGGTTCCGCTTCGCCTCAGCGGGCCCCAGGTTCGAGCCGGCTTATCTTGATTCTTTGGATTAGGGTTTGCTGGTTCACTGCTTTTCTTTTCTTGCAATTTTAGCGTAGCTATGTCGGCCTTTAGCATGCAGCAGCAGGCGTTGCGTCAACAGGCGCAGTCAGCAGGGCTCTTGGAAACATACCCTCTGGATCCTGAGGTCTCGTCTAGCACTGCAATTCCCTCCGGGTTTTCAGCAGCTTTCTTAGCACATTTGGAAAATGTGGGCAAAGATGTCACTGCAACATCGGTAGCAGCATCTTCTGATGCTGCACTTGATTCTCCTGCGAGACCGCCCTCGGCTCATTCTTCGTTGCTTTCTTGGCAGCCGGTTAGCGCTGACGACACACCTCAGGCAGTCTGTGTGGTCAAGCGTTTTCGTGCTTCTTCAGCGGCCCCGCAGGTTTGCTCTGTCGAGGCCCGGTCTTGGCTTCAGGCTTATCCCAAGGCGCATGTGGCGCGTTCGCGGTCTCCTCCTCGGCCTTTGCAACAGAGGGAGATCAGCGGGTTGCAGCTTCCAGCGGATCGGGTGGATCATAGGCATAGGCTGGGGTTGGGGTCTAGGCTCTCTTTAGGCCCCTTCAATCCCTTGCCTGCTCCGACTTTGTCCCCCAGGTCTGCCCCTAGTACCCTCTGGCCGCCCCCTAAGCCTTTCAGTGGCCCGGCTCTGCCCATGCCCAAGCATCGTGCTGCATTCTACGCCAAGCACACACGGGCGCCTTCGAGGGTTTCGGTGGCACCCACTGTGGTCGGTCCCTCTTGCAAGTCTGCGACGGTTTTGGCTGCCACAGGCTCGCGTTCACCCATGCTCCCGCAGGCCGCTCAGCATTCTGGAATGCAGGTTCCGGTTTCGGCCGGCACGGGCCTTACTTTGCAGCAGGGTGTGCACCAACAACAATTTGAGGATGTTCGGCAACTCTGGTCATCCATCAAGCCTCTGTTGCTGCCTTTTTCTGTGGTATTGCAAGATCTGGAGGTTAGTTCACATGCCGGGGAACTTGAGCTTGGGCTGCTGCGAACAGTCTCGGAGGTCACAGCCCTTCGTTATCTCCGGACCTTGCATAAGTTTCTGCTGCAGCTTGACGAGTTATGGAACCTGAGTTGGGACATGGCATCCCAGGCTGTGACAGTTGACTGCATCCTCTCTTTGCGCAGGGATCATACAGATTGTCATCAAGTGAACACCATCAAGGCTCTGCGTTGGGCTGCAAAGCTCTTCCGTCTCCGCGTGGAGGATCTCTACGAGGGGCTCTTTCGTACCCTCGTGGCAGCGCCAGCCTGAGGAAAGTTGCGTCGCGAATCGTATCCTTTGCCTTGGAGGTTGGTCAGCTACCTCGAGCATGCGCTCATCTTTCGTACTCTGCCGGTGCCGGCTTTACTCTTGGCCGGAGCTGCCTTGGCCTGCGTCTATGGCTCATTGCGCTGGTCGGACTCACAGCATCTCCGCTGGGAGTCCTTGATGTTTTCGTCATCTTGTTTGCGTGCCCCGGTGTTCAGGACTAAGACCTCTCGTGCGGGCATGCCAGTGGTTTTCCGCATTTTCGGGGTTCTAGGTAAGGGTTCGGAGGTTCGCCAAACTTGGCTTGCGCATTACCTTGAGATCCTTTCGGGGGTCTGGCAGGAGATGCGTGCTGCATTTGGGCAGGCTGTCTGTCCTGACTGCTTGTGGTTCACCTGGCAAAAGGCGGATGGGGCTTTCGCCCCCCTGTCGTATGCTCAGAGCCTGCGTTTTTTGAGGGAGGCAGCTGTGGCTTCCGGGTTGACAAGCGGCATCGTGCAAGCGCAGTCCTTGACACTTCATTCTTTGAAAGTTTGCCTTCTCTCTGCAATGTTAGTGCTAAACATCGATCGAGCTTCGCGATGCGCTCAGGGTCACCACCGCGGCTCTGCCGCGGAGTTGTATAGCAGGGACGATGTTTGGAGTGCGCTTCAGGCGCAAGATGTTGTGCTGGCTAAGCTTCAGGCGGGCTGGCTGCCACTGACGCCTATGGCCAGAGGAGGGCAATCTCCGATCCAGCAACTGCCACTGCTGACTGTCAGTGAGGAGAAGCCTTTTGCAGTGTTGAGTGCTCTGTTTCCGCTGCTTCCTGATTTCAGTGCGGCTGAAGTGGTGCCGACCTTGGATTCTGCTGAACTCGGGAAGTCGGATGCCGTGTCTGAGGCTGCCGATCCTACAGCCGCGCCCCAGCTACACCTGCTTCAGTCTCAAGCCAAGCTTCCGGCGCAAGATTTTGATTCTTCCTCCTCCGATGGCGAGTCCGTCGATGTAGAGTCGTTGGGCTGTGCTGAAGAGGTTGTTTTCCTTCAAGCAAAGTCGGGGGTGTGTCATTTCGCATCTCCGGCCACAGCGGGTACGGGCTCACGGCATGCAGAGCTTTGGCTAAAACCTGCGTGTGGCATGTTGTCGCCGGAGCTCATGGTTCTTCATTCCTTGCTGGCGGGCGCCCGCCTTTGCAGACACAAAGCGTGTCAGTTGCTTCTTAGCAGGTGCGCGTAGCACCTTCGCTGCCAGTGTATCTTCGAGCAGGGAATGTCACCGCTGCTCACAGGTCGGCAGCCTCTCCGAGTCATTTTTGTTAGCTCTGCAAGTAGCTGTTTGTGACTTGGTGGAGTGCTTGTGCTGCTGGCCATCAGGAAAAACAGTGGCTCCGCGCTGATTGGCTGTGTGTCTAGCGGCTTGAAGGTTGCATGCTGCAAGTCATGTCAGCAGAACATAGCGCTGCGGGGGGTCCTCAGGCACTGGCCCCGGTAATGCTGGCTAGCGATTTCGGCATGCGGCTGTATTGCCTCGCGCTTCTGAGAACATTTTCGGCTGTGCAGTCCATACCATTGCGCGGTGGGATTAGCCTGGAAGCTATGGCTGCTGCCTTGTCTGCCACAGCATTGCAAGGCCGCCACATTAAAAAACAAACAAACAAATACAGCAACAACAAGATTTGGCGCAGTGTTGCTGGCTGCAGTCCCTTGGTGGGTGCGGCCCCGGCTTCACCCACGTGCCGGTGTGGGCGCTTTAGCTCACCTGTGCATTTCTACTTGCGTGGCTCAGCGGGGTACCGGTGGCATAAATCGGCCCGCCTAGCAGGCTTCAAGTGCGGAGCAGGGAACCGGACAGGGATGCATTTGCTATTGTGCTGAGCCGGGGATTTCCCTCAGGTTGCGTTCATCCTGCCGGTACAGTTTTGTTCGCAGGCTTCGTGCCATCGCAATTTGTAGCACAAGCTTAACATTGTGACATAGCGAAAGTAAACTTATGCATTCTGCGCTTGTCCCTTCAGCCGGGGGCCAAGTACTTGCGCTATTCACTTCACTGCCTTTTTTCCGGCAGGTGATGGCTCTCCGGATGGGGGCGTTTCTGCCCCGACGATGGCTGAATTGCTTGCGGAGCACTCCATTCCCGAGGTGCTCCATTATCATTTCGCCGAGTTCTCTCCATCAGTCTTTGCCAACGTTTCTACGGACGCTGCTGGCTTAGACAGGTTCCTAGGGAGCCTCATGGAGAACACGGGCCCAGAAATGTTCGCTGTAGAAGCTCGTGTGCGGATGTTATGGAAATCCTGTGTCGCTCAGTGCTCGGAAAGCAAGAAGGCTCCCGGGGATCAATCCCTGGGTGTGAAGGCAGATTCTTGGAGTGACCCTTTTCCTGCAAAGTTGAGTGCAACTACGTGGAAATCACTGCGTGAAGATTTCCTTGCTTCCTACCCCTCCGAGCTGCTCAGCCCAGAGGACACACCGGGGGCGCGGATTATGGCCTTGGTGTACCGAGGTGTCTCCGACAAGTCGCTGAAATGGCCTCAGTGGAAGCACAGGTTATCAGTTGCGCAGGAACAATCACATCTGTTGCAACCTTCGTTCGACCACCAAGTCAAAAAAGAGAGAATGAGTCCGAGTAGATTGCGAGGAAGCTTAGCGCATGCGACAAACGAAGTTTTGGCTGTAGCTGTGCAAAGTGGCTGTAGTGTTGTTGTGAACGGGCAATCCCAGAGCTGCTGAGCAGG